TTTGTGGATGCTCAAAATACACTACGAAATCTCTCCAATTCCCTCTAATTCCTCAACTTTCTCAAATTCTTTAAAATCAAATTCTAATTGAATACACCCAGATTTCTAAGGATTTTCATAAACTATCTTAAAATCCTGATTGAATACACATTGAAGAATCACTTAAATTCCTGATTGGATACCCCTAGATTTATTAAAAGAATTAAAATCCCTCAAAATTCCAATTGAATACACCCCTAAGAGTTTCTGGGGATAAAAAATTGGATCCCAACTAGATTTTATATCGAAAGCTGGAAAATTTTGCTCCGTTTTAACGTGGGTTCTGTTTATTTTGCCAGAAAATACTTTTCAGATTGTATTCTATGGTTGAGATCTTCATCTAAGTCTCCGTTCTCTTGCAAGATAGATCCTAGGTAGCAAAAACGTTCACTTTTTGTGATCTTCGCTAGATTGCTCCGGTCATTAGTGTGGATAAGTATATAAATGGATGGAGATAGGAAAGCAAACACAAGATGTACGTGGTTCACCCAGATTGGCTACGTCCACGGAATAGAGGAGTTCTCATTAATTGTGAAGGGTTTACACTAGTACACAGGTTCAAGCTCTCCTTTAGTGAGTACAAGTGAATGATTTAGTACAAATGACATTAGGAAATATTGTGGGAGAAGGATCTCGTAACCACGAAACTTCTAAGTACCAGAGTGTGGTATCGTCTTGACTTGCCTTATCTGTCTCATAGGTAGATGTGGCATCTTCTCTGGAAGTACTCTTCCTCCATCCAGGGGTGATATCTGTAACTGGTGGAGATGCACAAGGTAATGTATCAATTTCACTTGAAGCTTACTTGTAGTTTCAGGCTTGGTCAAGCGCGATACAAACCATGTAGTAGGAGTCCCCCAAGTCGCCGAGCTAGGGGATCTGCTGAAAGAGGTGACAGACAAGGTAAGCAATCAGAGCTCCGGCTGATTGTTCACATTCTCCCTATCTTGCAGGCAGCACGAAGGATAAAGAGAAGAAAAATGAGAAGAGATGATATGGGATACTTTTGCTTTTGAAGAAGTAACTTTCCACAGGCTTATTCTTGAACTGGGCTGGAGGGTTTTCTGGTTTCCTCCAGAGTATAAGGCCGACTGAAGAATTTGAGGGTCAAAACAAGTCCATCAAATCTAGAGTACGTTCGACCCTGCTGATATAGGATGTTTTTGCTTTTGACAGAGTAATGGATGTATCGGCACGTGTGCTGTTACGCTTGTCTCCACATGCTTCCTTGTATCCTTCTCACTTGCCCTATCTGTTCCTCAGGCAGATGCGGTATCTTCCCTGGAAGCATAAGATGTTGAAGATGAGTACTCGAGAGCAATGCCAGGTAAGTAATCAGGTAAGGGGTTCCAGGCAGTCAGTTCCTGGCTGGAAGCTTGATTCCAAGTGCTGACTGATTGCTCTCTTTCTCCTTGTCTTGCAGGTAAGAACAAGGTCAAAGGAAAAGACAGGGAAAAAGCATGATATGGGATACTCTTGCTTTTAACCTTGATGATATGAGATATTCTTGCTCTAGTATAGCTTGTTTACAGAGGTGTTATCGGGGGGAAAGAAAGCTGAATATTTCGAAAGGCTTCGTTGGGAGTGCCCTCTCAGATAAGAGGAAGGGTTGAGCATTTTTGCAGGTCTGCCTGTCCGTTGGGGATGGAGGTCGACATATATAGGTGTCTCCCTAACATCAAGTAATAATGCTATTCCTTTACCCTGCTTGGTCATAGCACGGTAGTGGGAACTGCTAGCTTCACATGTTTTAACTTTGTCAGAGCACTTTGAAAAAGTGGTCTGTGGTATCTGGAAAGCTGATGTTGCGTGTGAAGATTACAGACAAGCTTTATCCAAGGAGATCCAGCTCTTGAAGTTGGGAAAGTGGTGCCTCTTCGGTTTTCAAACAAGCAATCCTGTCAGGGATCTGGCTCTCGAGATTCGGAGAACGATGCCTCTTCGATTTTTGAGAAAGCAATCATGCTGGGGGTCTGGCTTTCGAGATTCGGAGAGCGGTGTCTCTTCGATTTTTGAGAAAGTAATCATGTTGGGAGTCTGGCTCTCGAGATTCGGAGGGCGGTGCCTCTTCGATTTTGGAGCAAGCAATCTTGTTGGGAGTGTTTTCTCGAATGTGAGTAAAGGTTGGGCATGTTTGCTAGTCTACCTTGCCACGAAGCACAGAGGTTGACACACAGGGACTTTCCAATTATCCAGCAGTGGTACTGTTCCTTTACCCTCTCTTCAATTTTTGAGAAAGTAATCATGTTGGGAGTTTGGCTCTCGAGATTCGGAGGGCGGTGCCCCTTCGATTTTGGAGCAAGCAATCTTGTTGGGAGTGTTTTCTCGAATGTTAGTAAAGGTTGGGCATATTTGCTAGTCTACCTTGCCACGAAGCACAGAGGTTGACACACAGGGACTTTCCAATTATCCAGCAGTGGTACTGTTCCAATACCCTCTCTTCGATTTTGAGAAAGTAATCATGTTGGGAGTCTGGCTCTCGAGATTCGGAGGGCGGTGCCTCTTTGATTTTGGAGCAAGCAATCTTGTTGGGAGTGTTTTCTCGAATGTGAGTAAAGGTTGGGCATGTTTGCTAGTCTACCTTGCCACGAAGCACAGAGGTTGACACACAGGGACTTTCTAATTATCTAGCAGTGGTACTGTTCCTTTACCCTCTCTTCGATTTTTGAGAAAGTAATCATGTTGGGAGTCTGGCTCTCGAGATTCGAAGGGCGGTGCCTCTTCGATTTTGGAGCAAGCAATCTTGTTGGGAGTGTTTTCTCGAATGTGAGTAAAGGCTGGGCATGTTTGCTAGTCTACCTTGCCACGAAGCATAGAGGTTGACACATTACCCTTGTGGGTAATAATATGGTAGCTAGACCTTCAAAATTTATGTGTCTAAACTTTGTTAGTGTTGTTTCTTTGCTATTCTTTTACCCTTCTTGGTCAGAGCGATGTAGTGGGAGCTGCAAGCTTCACGTGTCTCAACTTTGTCAGAGAACTTTGGCAAAGTTATCTGTGGTACCCATGAGCTACTGTTGCGTGTGGGAAGTGGGTGATTGAACAGTACGATTCATGTGCTTTCTACTTCGCCAGAAATCTTCGACAGAATGCCCATAATTTCCGCAAAGCTGAGTGTGCGTGTGATAGGTGCTAACAAGGCTGGAAAAGTAGGTGCCTCTTCGATTTCTGAGATCGGCCCTCGTGAGCAGCCCAGCTTTTGAGAAAGCAAGCCTCTTCGATTTCTGAGATCGGCCTTCGTGGTCTTTGAGCAGCCCAGCTTTTGAGAAAGCAAACGCCTCTTCGATTTCTGAGATCGACCCTCGTGGTCTCTGAGCAGCCCAGCTTTTGAGAAAGCAAACGCCTCTTCGATTTCTGAGCAGGCGCCTCTTCGATTTCTGAAGCTTCGTCGAGTGCAGATTTTTATAGGGGCTGACATTAAGTTCCAAAGCACACTTGAATATCCACCAGTAGAAGCTCCATTCTTGCACTTCTAAGATCTTGATTTGTCCGACCTCTTCTCTCTTCAACACTTTTGAAAATGTCTGGCCCCTCCGACCGTCGTTTTGACTTGAACCTTGTTGAAGAGGCAGCCCCGCCTTCTCCAGACAACATATGGCGCCCATCCTTCGTCTCCCCTACTGGTCCTCTTACCGTTGGGGATTCCGTGATGAAGAATGATATGACCGCTGCGGTAGTGGCCAGGAACCTTCTCACTCCCAAAGATAACAGACTACTTTCCAAACGGTCTGATGAGTTGGCTGTTAAGGATTCTCTGGCTCTCAGTGTTCAGTGTGCAGGTTCTGTGTCTAATATGGCCCAACGCCTATTTGCTCGAACCCGCCAAGTTGAATCATTGGCAGCTGAAGTGATGAGTCTCAAACAGGAGATTAGAGGGCTCAAGCATGAGAATAAACAGTTGCACCGGCTCGCACATGACTATGCTACAAAACATGAAGAGGAAGCTTGACCAGATGAAGGAATCTGATGGTCAGGTTTTACTTGATCATCAGAGATTTGTGGGTTTGTTCCAAAGGCATTTATTGCCTTCGTCTTCTGGGGCTGTACCGCGTAATGAAGCTCCAAATGATCAACCTCTGATGCCTCCTCCTTCTAGGGTTCTATCCAGTACTGAGGCTCCGAATGATCCCCCTCCGGTGCCTTCTCTTTCTGGGGCTCTACCGACTGCTGAGACTTCTCCTAAGCAACCTTTGTGAAGGCTCCCTCTTGTTTGTTTTATTTTGACTCAAGTATATGTACATATTTGTAACTTATCGGGGATATCAATAAATAAGCTTTCCTTCATTTCAACGTATTGTGTTAAATACACCAAAGCCTTCTTCGCTAAGTTCTTTGAATTTTCTTTTGTTGAAACTTGTATGTTGAAGCTTTGTGAGTGGAGCATGTAGGTTGAGGTAGTGTTCCCTTAATTTCCCGAGTGAGGAAAACTTCTCGGTTGGAGACTTGGAAAATCCAAGTCACTGAGTGGGATCGGCTATATGAATCTTAGAACGCCATTGTGTTCTGTCCTGTATCATGTCCTTCGTTAGATCCAAGTACTCTAAGTCTTTTCTTAGGGTCTCTTCCAAAGTTTTCCTAGGTCTTCCTCTACCCCTTCGGCCCTGAACCTCTGTCCCATAGTCGCATCTTCTAATCGGAGCGTCAGTAGGCCTTTTTTGCACATGTCCAAACCACCGTAACCGATTTTATTACATAAATCTCATTGGGGTGTTGTTCCCGGTGTAGCCTACAGCACCTCAATCTTAAAGCAGGCCTTGAACAATGAAGGGTCCATATTTGAATATAGCTACGAGGCATGGGCTTAAAAAATTATTACAATCACTTCCAATTTAGATGTACTATTGGAGTTGTTTTCTTTTCTCTCTCTTGCGTTTGGAGCTATTTTCTTCTTTCACTGCCTCTCTTGTGTCAGTCTTTTTATAAAATAAAGTAGTCGTTCAGCTACACATGCAACGGTGATTTGATGGCATTCTGGTGAAACAGGCTGATCTTTCAAAGGTTGACCGACAGAAGACACCTTGGCTGCTCGTGCTCTTTCATGTTCCCTGGTACAATAGTAATAAGGCTCATCAAGGTGAAGGGGACAGCATGATGGCAGCAATGGAGCCATTGCTTTATGCTGCCAGTGCGGATATAGTATTTGCTGGTCATGTTCATGCTTATGAACGAACGGTAAAGCTATACTAAATTGGCACATATTTCTGTAGTAAATATAGGGCACACAATTTTAATCCATGATGTCTTGTTTGACAGAAACGCGTGAACAATGGAAAATCAGATACATGCGGTGCTGTCCACATAACCATTGGTGATGGCGGAAACAAAGAAGGCTTGGCTCACAAGTATGTCTCTGCGCTCAAAAGATTTTCAAATTTGCAATTTAGGAAAATAGAATGTTTGTTCAACTCTCATGTGCTTGGAAAAAACAATCCTGAAATCGGTTTGCATGGGATGAGTTCTGGACATTTGAATTTTATATTGTCTCTATGATAGCTAGTAGTTGTTGGCAAATATGAGTCTCATTGGCATTGGTTACTAACTGCTTGTTCCAATTCCTCACAAATTGGCAGGTATAAAAACCCACCACCCGAGTGGTCAGTTTTCCGGGAAGCAAGTTTTGGTCATGGTGAGCTGAATATAGTGAATTCAACCCATGCCTTTTGGACCTGGCATAGGAATGATGACGACGAGCCTGTTAGGTCCGATCAGGTCTGGATAACCTCGTTGGTTAGTTCAGGATGTGTTGCTGAGAAGACACTTGAGTTAACGAAGATACTTACGGAACCATAGAGCTTGTAATCACATGAAGTTTGTCTCTCTTCTGGTTGGCGTGTTCGTAAAATTGGCTTTCTGCAGTTCGAATGTGCAAGCTCTTCTGTGTAGGCGTCAAACTTTATGCATGTACCATATATGGTAGAACTTTCCCCTTAGTGTGTGTGTATATATAGCCAAAAGCAAGCATGCAAAGTGGCACAAAGCTAACAAGATGGCAATGGCAATTATGAGGAACGCAATAAATGAAACTGTTGGAATACCAAAGTCTGACAAGGCCAAAGAACTATTGACCACCATTGGAGATAAGTTCAAATTGTCTGAAAAGGCTGGACTGGAAGCCAATTCACCAAACTCACCTCTATGAAATTCGATGGTAATGGGAGTGTGAGGGAACACATATTGAAGATGTCAGACATTGCATTGAAACTAAAAAAACCAATTCATCAAGGATCTGTGAACCTTTTGATGGTGGTTGATACAATTCACAGATCCTTGAAACTGTTTTGTGACAACAAAGCAGCTGTGTTTTTCTCAAAGAACAACAAAAGATCATTGGATTGCCGGCTCATGGACATGCAATATTTGAAAGTCAGAGATGAAGTGGGAAAGATGACAGTTGACATTGAACACAGTTGCACATACAACATGCTGGCCGATCCCATGACAAAAGCTCTACCAGTGGGAGTCTTCAAGAAGCATGTTCATGGAATGGGAGTTTATGAGACTTTTGACTCTGCAAATGAGGGGGAGTAAAAATTTGATCATTTCTTGCTTGACTATTAAACTCATTTCAATTAAATAAACTGCCATGATGCTTTGTTATGTTTCATATGAGTAACCATTGTAGACAAATTCAAGTGAGATAAAAGCTTATGCTTAAAACTTAAACTGGTATTTTGCTAATCAGACCCATACACCTTGGCATTATCTGCAATCATTTACTGAAACCAAGCATACATGTAATTATGGAACAAAAGTGCAGAAAGATATGCACTCGAGTTTCCATAGTTCTGTGCTCAACTTCAGTGGTGATTGTTTCATGAGGAAAACTAATGTGACGTTAGCTCAGCGATCACCATGATTCTTGTTGCAATTGAATTAAAATCACTTGACACCCAAAGTGGGATAATGTAAGATTATATTGGCTTGTCAAGTATTGTGTCACTGATCATACAAAAGGAAAGTTACTTACTAGGCAAGTAATTTTTCCTAACGTATGATTGAATAAACAATTGGCCAGGATCATGGAGCTAATGAACATTGGTTGACTTTTGTAAAACCTAAATTATGCAATATATCATGCACATGCCTTGGTGGGACAAATTAAGGAATAAATGGTGATTAGGTGTATCAATCCAATTACTATGATAGGGGTCGAATCCTAATATGAAGAACAAGTGACCTCAAGCTGGCTACAACACTCTTGATTAGCCACCTTAACCGCATACTTGTAATGACCATTTTGCTCGTCAAGGATTGGTGTAGAACTCCCATCAACAAAGTTCTCATTGACTTCTTCATCATCATCAACGTACTTATCATAAATTGGCGGGTAATTTCAATCGACTGAGCTAGTCTCTTCAACCACTTGATATTCCAACGGATGTAAAATCTCACCCATGACCTTCATACGCAGCGGAAAACCTGCTCTGATGCCACTTGATGCAGTATCTTAGGGAAACGGGGATAGAACCCGAGAATCGCTCAAGCAAGGACAACAGAGCTCGCTCGACGTTACTAATCGTGGATTCTCTCACACGACCAAGCCTAACGCTTGATTTGAGAAGGAGAAAAACTTGATGCAGTAAAAACCAAGGATCTTGAAGAGAAGGGGGATAGATGACCTGAGATTCACTCAACAAAGGCAATAGAATTTCCTTGACCTTGTTAATCACTTAATCGCTCAACACGACCCAGCCTAACACTTGATTTAGAAGGAGGAAACACTCACTTCAACTGCACAAAGAAAAATGTATTTTTTTTTAATCTAGTCTCCCAAATGCTTGGATTACATCATAATTTAATGAATGTAAAGATAAAGGAAGCATAAATGAATTATAACTTCCTAAAAGACTCTCACCATATTTTAAATGGACTTAAAAAAATTCTAAGAGTAACTTCAATGGAAGTCCCTATAGCTATCCTTACCACCGTATTTCTCTAAATTTAAGGACTTAGTGACTTCCAATGGGTCGGAATTACAATCTCTATAGCATAGGGACTATCGGGAGTCCTAAAAAATTTCCTCACAATTGAGGACTGCTTAAGGACTCTCAAATGGGGTAAAACTTGGAAGTATTACAAGTTTCTCTCCGAGGTGAGAGTTCTCTCCACACTAAGAGTCCTTCTCATTGTTTGTGTGAGACTTTTAAACCTAAGCTTTTCTGGTGGCATCGGCCCTAGCTTCGGTTGGGGTTGATTATCGTGTCCTCTGGTCTCCCTTTTCCTTCTTTTCTCATTGCCTCTACTGTTGTTCTCCCAAATTTTAACTTTGGCATGTCCAATTCCTTAATCCCCAAAGGTATTCATCATCCCAGTTATCCCTTGGTTCGATCTTCAGCCATATTTCCTATTGAGATCGTGTGTAGAGTTCTGATGTTTACACCAACTCTGGTGTTTCCAACAACATCACTTTCTCTGTTATCTACCGGTTTTGACAGTGTCGCTCGTGGGTTTCCACAAGCTTCATACTAGTAGTTGGCTTCTCTCACTCTGTTGCCGACTATCCCCTGCTTATGGTTGTGCTCATGTAGGTTTTCGGAGTTAGAGGTGGCTTCTAGTGAGGCATTATTCGGAGGTGGTGGACTGGAATTCGCTTGGATGGACTGGAAAGCTAATGGTGGAGAAGACAGTGGAAGCTTCTCGGTTTCTTGGCTGCTGTGCAAGTCTATGGGACTTACTGTTTTCGTGGGTCATTTTATGTTTGTATTTAGTCTAAGACCCTTGGTTTTTTTGTTAAAAGGTGTTTGTTGGGCCTTGTTTTGCTTGTAAATTTGTGATGGTTGTTTAATAATAATAATAATAATTTTTTTTTTTGTTTTAAAAAGGACTCTCAAATGTGTTAGGCACCATGTTAAATTTGAATAAGGTTGAAGTCCCTGGAAATGGATCCTCTCCGAATCCATTATATGGGGATCCTAAGGATTCTCATATCTCAGTCGCTCATCGTGTATCGTGCGGTCATAAATCATTTGACTTCGGAGAGGATCTGTGATCGAACTCTAAAACACTCTGCAGCTTCCAATGTTGCAGGTCACATTACTTTTTCTTTTGTTGGTCAATGGGAAATCAACGGTTGTGCTAGCTTTTTGAGATTTTTTTTGCTTTTTATTGTTTAAATCAATGGTTGTCAAATTAACAATAACGTTTTAGTCTTTTGGTCCCTATATTTAAGGACTATACTAAAAGATCATCTCCAACTCTTAGGTTAAAATCTAAAATTTTTAATGCAAAAGATTTAGGTTTTAACCCGAAACAGTTTTTTTTGCTCCACCATTCTAGGTTAAATTTTTAGTCCGAGATTATTAAAGAATGAATTTAAGATAATTTTTTTTTCTTAAAGTAACTGTTTTTTAAAAACAAAATTATGTAGATTATCATAATTTAATTTTATGAACATTTTAACATAAAAATATTTAGATTCTGATAAATATTGAAAAATCACTAAATTCACACCTTAAAACTCGTGGAATACTATAAAAGAATATGAAACATATGAAAGAATTTTGTTAATTATTTAGTCGTTGGATTTATATATTTGGACAATTATATTTTTTTTTACCGTTGGATTTGATCATATTAGATTTGTAACATCCCACATCGCCCAGGGGAGTAATCCTTAAATGTATATTCTTATCCCTACCTAGCACGAGGCCTTTTGGAAGCTCATTGGCTTCGGGTTCCGTAGGAACTCCGAAGTTAAGCGAGAATGAGGTCAGAGCACTCTCATGATGGGTAACCCACTGAGAAATTGCTCGTGAGTTCCCAAAAACAAAATTGTGAGGGAATGGTAAGCCCAAAGCGGACAATATCGTGCTACGGTGGTGGAACGGGCTCGGAGTGTGGTGGACCCGGGCAGGGATGTGACAAATGCTATCAGAGCCAATCCCTGGCCGGAAGTGTACCGACGAGGACGTCAGGCCCCTAAGGGGGGTGGATTGTAACATCCCACATCGCCTAAGGGAGTGATCCTTTAAATGTATATTCTCATTCCTACATAGCACGAGGCCTTTTGGGAGCTCACTAGCTTCGGGTTCCGTAAGAACTCTAAAGTTAAGCGAGAAGGAGGCCAGAGCACTCTCATGATGGGTGACCCGCAGGGAAGTTGCTCGTGAGTTCCCAAAAACAAAACCGTGAGGGAATGGTAAAACCAAAGCGGATAATATCGTGCTACGGTGGTGAAACGGGCCCGGGATGTGGTGGACCCGGGCCAGGATGTGACAAGATTTCAATCTTTGGATTTAATTAATTTGTAAATATAAAATTAAAAAAAAAAGTACACATATATGGTCGGCCAAACTACTAACCCAAAAGACATTCTGAGCTAAATTTGCCTCAAAAATGAAGTTTTGGGTTAAAACTCATATTTGGCCCAAGGGTTGGAGCAAGTTGGGGTAGGTTTAGAACCTAAAATTTGAGTTTTACTCCAAATGTTGGAGTAGGTCTAAGGACACTCCCATTCGAGCTAATTTTATTTTAGGTACATGAATATTCCTTAAAGTCCCTAAATAAATCATCAAAAGTGGTAGTTGGAGTCCCTAATTTTCTTTCGAGTAAATTGTAGCAATAATTCCTTAACTTTAACTCAATTGGAGCAATGGTCCCTCAACTAAAAATCCATTACCATTGGTCACTCAACTCATCAAAACGTGCATATGTGGTCTCTCAATTAAATATCTATTACCATTGGTCCCTCAACTTTAATCCAACTGGAGAAATGGTTCCTCAAATTTAACTCAATTGTAGCAATGGTCCTTCCAACATAACTCATTTTGACAAAATTCTAATAAAGTTGACGAAAATGACCATAA